CGTTGTACGGTTCTTGAGTACCTCTTGACCAGTGTTCTAATTCTTTGCACGAATGAGTAAAACCAGAAGTAAGGCTTTGTAGGTATTTTCTGACAGAAAATAATCTAACCTGCTAGCTTTCTGTTATCACAGTCATGGTCAGCAAGTAAGGCACATATTGAAAAAAACGGAACGGCTCTCAGCACATCAAAACAGAGAGATTTCTCTCAGAAGGCCTTTGGTGATTTGTAAAATGTCAGATCATTTCAAGTGCCTCACTGAAATGTACAGCTATTTTGACAAGTGGATGAGGTAAGGCACAGGGAGAAATCCTTAACAGTGAACAGTCTGTACCAAAAAACCCCAACAGGTTAGATTTAATATCTAGATTAAGGCAAGCACAAATTATCAGAGTGCCTTGTGCCAAGGAGAGGAGGAAAGGGAGATAAGGAAAAACATAGCAACACAAGTTGCTTTAATTGGGTGAATGCATTTACATCCTTTTTTAAATTTTCTTTTTGCTGTGCAAAAATTGTTGATGTTGTAGCGACTGCTATAAACACTGCCTGCTACCAAGTATACTGATTGTTAGGTATATTTGTTGTAGGTCCCATGGCAAATGTGAGAAACCTTGAAGAATTACATGTTATTGGTTAATGGACAGATTATGGTGAGAAAAGTGATCAAGTGGTCTGGAGAACACCGTCTGAATGCAGGAAACGGGGAACTCCAGATGTATTACTGGCTTCAACAGTCAAGACACAGAATTTTCTGCCTTGAGCAGAAACTAGAAAGTTAAGGTTTTATTCCAAACAAATATAGCACATAAAGACAGTTGAGTTCCAGGTGAAAATCAGAGTCCTGCATAAATGGGCACTGGTAGGATTCTCATGAAACTAGAGATCTACTGTGCTACTCACTCTCCATTTAAGCTCTCTTGGAACTTTATTTCTTGACAGGGGACAGCTCTTGCTTCATCCCAATGGTTCCCATTTCAAATCCTTATCAACACCACCCATCCAAACATCTCACACTGGGACTGTGTAATATTTATAAAACATATGCCTTAGTCTAATCTTAACTGTGGGCTGACCTTAGCTAAAGACCCCAAACCATGGCCAAGCTGGAAAAGCTCTCAGGAGGGAATTGTCTTGCACAACCCTGCCCTTTGTAGCACTCTTTCAGCTCCACAACAGGACCTATCAGCTCTGTTTCTCTTCTAATCCTACCCCTGAAAGTGGTGACCTAGCCCATAAGCCCTGAAAACTGTGGCACAGATGATAAAGTTGTCAGGAGAGAACTGGTTTGGCAGCCCACACCTTCTCTTGGCAGCCTGTCTGCAGCCCTGCTTTCTCTAGATCCCTAGGCTTTGCCTTCGAACCTTAATGCTAGAGGGCACCAAACAGCCCCCTCATGAAAGTCCTCAGAGGATTCTTTCTGCAGCCAAGACCTTCCCCTAGCAGCCTCATGCCAGGTAGATTCCTGGGAACTGTCCTTTCATCACCCTAAATACGTCCAGGGCCTTAATGCCAGGTAAACCCAAGCACGGCCCTGACTGAAGCCTTTGAGAGCAATTCTTATGCAGCCCAAACCTTCCACTGACAGCTCCTCTGCAGCCCCACTCCAGCCAGACCCACAGGGTTTGTCTCTGAGCTCACACCCTACCCTTAACCCAAGCCACGTGCTGAGCCTTACCCTAAGGCCTCAAATAAAGAAAAAAGCAGTAGTATAATCAAAATGGCCAAATTAAAACACTGATACGGGAAATGTCTTTCTGGCTAAACCTGCCTGTTGCACTACCTTTACACCTTCACTCACTATACGCTACTTGGGTTTGCTTCTCATAAACCTGATGCTAAGCACAGCTACGGCCCGATCCCTACGCAGGCATCCCAAGCCGCGGCCAAAGACGAGAAAGTCCTTACTGAAGGATTCTTTTCGCAGCCCAAGCCCTCCCTTGCCAGTCCATCCGCAGCCCCGCTTCCCCTTCTGTGCACCCTGTCCCTCTCCCACCCATCAGGCGCACCCGCCCGGCGCCCCGACAGCCCTGCCC